TTGGACAACCCTGGAACATTAGGAGACGGTGTTATTGTTACGGGAGGCAAGAGTCCCTTGCTCACTCTTACATCATCACAAACCACAGAACATGAGGCAGTGTCCTCTGTGTTTTTTTTTTTTTTTTCTGATGCTTTGTAAGGCTCAGTAAACAGAGACTTTACTAATAACATATCTAATGAAAAAGTCTTTGGAAAGATGAAAAGAAAAAAAGCCAATAAAATTGTCCCCTCAAAAAAATACCCAGAACTATTTCTGCTACTTTTATGTGTGTTTGAGTCATCTGAGACTCTTTTAAAGTTTTCTAACTCTCACAGGTGACATTCTCACAGTGAACAGTATATATTGATGGACCCAAGACTAAAAATCCAACATGTGTCTTTAGGGTACAATCATTTTCTCCTCAGATAATGCATGTATAGATCTCAGTGAAATATTTGATACAGACACATCATCTGATAAATTTTCATTGCTCTTGCTGTGGCTGTTACTATTGATTTTTGAGGCATGTAGAATAGGAAAAGTGAAGAGAGAAATACAACGAGGGTTGAGAGATGGAGATAGAGAGTTAGGATCCAAGCCTTGCCTGTTCTGAGCTATTTGACCGCAGCAAGGTATTTAGCCTGAAAACAGTTATGTCAAGTATAAAATTGGGGTGAGGGGGAATCAATCTCATAGAATTGAGAGCACATTATGTAACTGGTGAATACTGGCCCATTAAATTTAAATTGTTTGTGTTATTCACTTTAGACATATTTATGGTTGACGCTTGACTTTATTATAATTTATCAATTGTAAGGTATATTATAATCCCCATGGTATTAAGCTCTTTATTATTATCTTTAAATAAGGGCTAATGATTAGTATCATTAAATTAATTAGTGCATGTAAAGCATCTTGGTAAACATTGAGAATCTGGTTGTAATCCACTCATATCTATTCTCACTTCCTTCACTTATCAGTATAAACGATAGGACCAACCAAACTTATGAGGAAGGTATAAGAGAATTGGTATTAGAAAGAAAGAAAGGAAGGAAGAAAAAAGAAAAATAGATAGATAGATAGATAGATAAATAGATAGATAGATAGATAGATAGTCAGACAGATAAATAGATAGATAGATGGATCAGTCCTAGGCCTCACCCATGGAGATTCCTATTTAATAAGTCTGGGGCGGGGATTAGATATCATGCATTTGTTTTATGACCCTCTAGAAGTTTGTGCACGGCTCCTCAAGTTTTTTATCTACATGGCCAGGCTGAGAAGGGCTACTCTAGACGGCAGCAAAGCCTTGACCACTGTTGACCACACAGCTTATCAAATCTTTCCCACTGGCAGCTCCAGCCTTTCTGGATTTTAATCTTCTGATTATGTGTTCTTAGTATGAGAATTGCAGCTATTGTCCTTATCCTGCCCTTCCCTTGGCACACTGGAGTGAGCTCTTCCAGAGCCTATGTCAATGACACAGGGCAGAGGAGTGTCTCCCAATCCTTTGCTCCTAACCTGACCACACAGAAATCCCCTAGTTCCTTTGTCAGGCAGAATAAGGCAGCCCCTGGACAGCCATGTGGTTTTTAGACAGAAATAGCCTTGACTTTAGGCAGTGATTTCTGTATGGCAAGGGTATGTTTGTATGCCTTCTATCCTCAGCCTTACAGGAGGCTGTTATTAATATCATTGTTCACATTGTTTAGAACGAGGTGAGGCAGCTTAAATACGTGTTCTGGACCAAGTGTACAATAGTAAAGCTGTTCTTGAAATCTGAATATCTGATTCCTAATCCTGGGCTCTTAAAAGTTCTCTAGGAGGGATTTAAACCTGATGACACCTGGGTCCACCCTGATTACTGAATCGGAATCTCTGATTGTTGCTCAGGTATTGGCAGGTTTCTTTTGAAGTGCAACATTTTTATTAACGCTTCGTGAATTTCATATATGCATGCAGTGTATATTGGTCATATATACCCCTATACTTCTACCTTTAATTCTTCCCAGATCAGGTCCTCAATCCTTTATCACCCCCAGACTTTTGTTCTCTCTGTCTCTCGGTGTGTGTCTCTCTGTCTCTTTTCCCTCCCCTGCCCTCACCCCTTCCTTAAATTACTTTCTGAGGCCAAGTGTAGCTTCCCTGTACTCATGGGTGTGGGGCCACCCACTGGAACATGATTGACACACCAAGGGCCACACCCTCAGAGGTACTATTTGTAGGGCTGCGCACTTCAAAGACACTTCTTCTCTGCACTCTGACCACTTATGAGTTTCTGCATTAAACACTATCCAATGCACAGAGAAACTTCTCTGATCAAGTCTGGGAGCGGCAGAAATCTGTGGGCACAGACATAGGAATAGAGAGGGTAGTTTCATATTGTGTCCATTCAGCAACATAATAGTAGGCTATTCGCTTCTGGCGCCTCTGAACTACCACACCATGGGTTTTTAGCCAAAGTTATAGTTTCAGGCTGTTTCCTCCCATGGAGTGAGCTATATGTGTGATAGCCATCGGTTACCTCACGTCATTTGTGCCAATACTGCACCATGGACATATCTTCCCACACTGGTTGTTATTGTAGCTCACAGCATCATAGCCGGCTATTGTGGTTAATGTGCCCAATATTAAAGAAGAAAGGGAAATAAAGGAGAAGGAGGTTTAAGTGGCAAGAAGGAAGTGTGAGGATGGCAAGAGAGATGATAACTAAAGATGCTTGAAAAAGCCTTATGGAAACCTACTGTGTTATGAGAATCTTAAATATAGTTTGTGTATTCATAGAAAAGGAGTTTAACTAGGATAACCCTACACAGGGAATAATGCTTCTCCCAAAAGCCATAACTTGTCAAATAAAAAGTCCAGTGCCACATGAGGCTACATACACAGCATGGTGACTGAGAGGGCAAGGCAAATATCATGACAGGCCCCTAATAACTCAGTTAAGATCTAGGCTTCAGTTCCTGCACGTACTAGACCTAGGCCAAACCCCTCTCCCCATGTAGGTAATAACCAAATAAGGACAAAGCCTGGGACTTGTCCAGGCCTGCCCCAAAATGGAAAAGCTGCAGACTTAACCAGCCCCTGACTAGCCCTAGCTAATTAGAATGTACTAATATGATTGCCACTTGCTTAAGCCAATCATATCTGACTCCCCTTGGCTGTGCTTAAAAGGAGCCTGTGAGCGTCTATCAGGGCCATTGCCGTTTTGCCTTTGTGTGGAATGGATGGCCCCAGCATGCTGGAACCTTGCTGATTGCATATGTGGATGGTGGTCTTTCATGGGACCTCTCCAGGATCCTAACCATGACAAATAACCCAGTCATTTGAAAGCAGAAGCCTCTCCCCCAACCCTTACATGATTGTACATAGGACAAATATAATGAACAGGTTTGACATGCAGTCAAAAGTCCTGGACTTCATACAGACTATTAAATTTCAAGTCCCTCTTCATTATTAATTGTAATATTAAACAACAATCTAGAACATTCTTCTGTTGCTAGAGTTTTCCTGCCTGGCCCAGGGTCAGGGCAAATCTCTCTCACCCGCCAGTCCCAAGCCGCTCAAACCCGACCAAGTAAACACAGAGACTTATATTGGTTACAAACTGTATGGCCGTGGCAGGCTTCTTGCTAACTGTTCTTACAGCTTAAATTAATCCATTTCTATTAATCTATACCTTGCCACGTGGCTTGTGGCTTACCGGTACTTTACATCTTCCTTGTCCTGATGGCGGCTCGCAGTGTCTCCCCCCCCCAGCTTCCTGTTCTCTCCATTCTCCTCTCTGTTAGTCCCGCCTATACTTCCTGCCTGGCCACTGCCAATCAGTGATTTATTCATTGACCAATCAGCAACACATTTGACATATAGACCATCCCACATCATTCTTCTCAGGAAATATTTGCTCAGGATTATGAAATCATTTTTACACTTTTTTTAAATTTTTTTACTTTTACGATTCTTTGTGGATTTCACATCATGTGTTCCATTACCACTTATCTCCCTGTCGCCTCGAATCCACCCTCTACTCTGGCAACCTCCCCTCAAAACAAAACCAAATTAAAAACAAACAAACAAACAAACACAAACCCCAAAACCAAACAAAGAAACAAAAAAAGAAGAATCTTATCGTGGAAGCTGTAGTGTGGCCCATTGAGACACACAGTTTACCCATTAGTCTGTTCATCTTTACTTGTAAGTGTTCATTAGCACAAGTCATTGGTCTGGCTTGAGGCCTCTGGCTTCTGCTACACCCTCTATTATGGGTTCCAATGGTGCTCCTCTTGGATATCCTGCTGTTGTCCTGTGTCCTGGAGATCCTGCTGTTTTGGCTCTGTCGGTTTGTTCCCTTCACATGCCCCAGCAGTTCATAGATGAGGTGGATGTTGGGGTGGGCCAACTCACAGCCCTGGTTCTGGGCCTGGGTGGTAGCTGGGTTGGTCAGCTCACCAGCTTCCCTCATTGTCAGTACCTGGATGGGCTCTCCAGCACTGCCTCGGCTAGCTCATCCAAATGCAGCCTACGGCAAGGAGTGGGGCCAATTCTCCTGCTCTCAGGCCCTCAGATCCGGGTCTCCCTCATTCATATGGCCAGGGCCAGCTCTACTGTTTTGCCCAGGCAAGGTGCAGGGCCCTCTCTCTCTATTGCCACAAGAGGCATTTTGGGGGGGGGGGGAGTGTCAGCCTGCTCTCATGCCCTCAGTGTTGGCCCACCTGCTAACCACAAGTTCAGTTCACTTATTCCCTGACCACAGGGCCAGCTCTAGTATGCTGCCCAGGTGAAGTGCATGCCTGTGGTGAGGGGTGGGGCCATCTTTCCTGAGTGCAGGGGTGAGCTCTCCCCTGAGGGGTAGGGCCAGATCATCTGCTGCAACATCCATCTAGGGGCAGGACCAGCCAACCCAAGGCAAGTGAAGGGCGGGGCTGGCTCAACACAGCGTGGTCCTAATGATCTCTGTGCTAACACTGGCCAGGGACATTACCACAGAGCCCAACTGTGGCAGGACCACCCACCCAGACATGAACTTCGGCAGTAGCCCTGGCCCAGACAACACCATGGCCCCGGATGACAGTGCAGGCCACTCAGATCGGGATGTCCCGGGTGGCAGCATGCTCCCCACCCCCACCAGGCACCAACATAGCCACAGCTTGTGGCCCAGACTGGAGGCATCTATGCACTGCTAAGGAAACAATCAGTTGAGTGAAGAAGAAACACACAGAAATGGGAATCTTTGCCAGCATACATCTGGCTGAGGATTTATATACACAATATATCAAAAAATTAAAAAGAAAAAACAAGGGACCAAAGAAATAAATTATCCTATTAAAAATGGGCTTGGGATCTACACAAAGAATAGATCCCAAATAGAAGAAATAAAAATGACTAAGAAGTATCTCAAAAAATTGTTTGTTCTCCTCTGCAATTGGGGGACATACAAATTAAAACAGCTATGGGATTTCTTCTCACTCAAGTCAGAATAGCTATGATCAACAAAATAACAGGCAACCAATGCTGGTGAAGTTGTGGGGAAAGGGAAACCCTCGTTCACTGTTGGTGGGAATGCATACTGGGTGTAGCCAGTCTGAAAGTCAGTATGGAGTATCCCAAACAAACAAACAAGCAAACCTAAAAGTAAATCTCACATATGACCTAGATATACCACTCCTCGGTATCTGCCCAAACGACATCCCATTCCACAGATACTAAATCAGCAGTGTTCATAGCAGATCTTAGCTAGGAAATGGAAACAATCTAAGTGTCCTTTAATAGATGAATAATGAAAATATGGTACATGTCTACATTGTGGAATAGTATTCAGCTGAAAAGAAAACTGAAATAATGAAATTTGCAGAATAATGGGTGTACTTAGAAAATATTGTATTGAGTGGGGTAACCCAAACCCAGAAAGACAGACATTGAATGTTCTCTCTCATCTGCAGTTCCTAGTTCCAAATTTTCTGATGTGAGTATATAACATGGAGGAGTGACTACAGAAATCAGAAAAGTATAAAAGGATGATGGTGGGGGTGTTGAGAAGGGATAGGAAGATATAGGTGATATGAAGCAGTAAATGGAAAAACAGCCTGAGGGCCCTAACTGGGGAGGAGAAGGCAGGTCTGTACAGATAAAGGAGAGAGAATGGACAAATAATACCAAGATAGTTTGATAAAGTCTCAAGGAATTATATTAACTTATATTTCCTTAAAATTATACAATACATGTAATTGTATTTGTATGCGATGAATGCACACACACACTCACACGCACACACACACACACACACACACACAACAGTACCAATCATGAGAACAATATAGGCTATTGCTGTTGCCCTTGGATGCCTCTCAGAGGTTTAGGATACTCTTCTATTACTGCAGACATCGAACACTTAGGACAGGCTACTTGGATGATTCAAGTCGTATCTAACCTGAAAGTCTTCCTGCAGTCTAGTTTCCATTTTACCAGGAAGTACTTTGCAAATTGCCAAACGAGGGGAATAACTGATAGTTCTAACCCGCTGTGACACCTTTGAATCACAACAATGACCAGCATGGCAAGATATCCAGAAAGGTGTAATAGTGGCACTCACATGTTAGTGGTAAGCAACAGATATCTAAGTGGATTTTAAGGCCCACTCAACAGAACAGAAATTCTGTTCTGTTGAGTGGGCCTTAAACATAGGAGCTTCCCAGGGCTAGTGAGGTCATGGATCTTAGAGGAGAAGCTACTACTGCCAATTTGCTAGACGAGCAAAATTCCTTAACTTTTTTCTAAATCTTGTCCTTAGAACCATAGGTAAGTGTAAATACCACCCCTCATGAAAGAAAGTTCTCTCTACGGCAAATGAAGACAGTTACAGAAAACCACAACTGGATACAGATGTTAAGGTCCATGGATTGTGGAGTGCCCACCGCCAGTGTACACTTTTGCAGCACAGCTCCTGCAACTCTGGCTTAGGGAACTTGTCAGAAGAGGGTGCAAAGAGGCAGAATAACGCGGCCTTTGCTGTGTGACTGCCTCTCTTTGAAAGGGCAGCATACACAAGACCTGAACAATTACAATATCAATAGCTATGCTAACGAAGGAGGGGCAAAATCTCATGGGCTCCCACCCTGACAGGAAGAACAACAGGGAAATTCTCCATTGTTTTGAGATCTGGACAATTCATTTGAGTTCTCTAAAATGGTGCCTCAATTTAAGATAGTAATCCTTCTTCATTCAGGCTTACGTTGCAAAAATTAGACATGGGAAACACTTGACAGGGTGCCTGATACATGGTGTTTCATGGCTGGAAGTTTTCATTCTTATAGGCATTATTGCTATTATAGTGAGATCTACTGTGTATCCATGGCCACAAGAAAATAGTCTGCTGTATGGAGATGGGAAATGATTTGGCCAGATTCCAGAACTGCAATGCCTATCTTCTATATATTCTTATCTCTGTAGATCCCAGGGGACTTCCAAGGTCATGCTCTCCCAGGAGCTTTCTTGATTTTTTTAAGTCTTTGGTGGAATTCTGTGAATATTCTGAAGTATGTCTGCAAAAAACAAAAACAGATTTACCTTCATTCCAAACCATGGATATATCGAGCAGAAATTTTGGATGGAATTATACTAATTGGCATGGCTTCATTTGGTGAGTGCTTTTAACTTCAGACTTTAATAAAGATTAAATAGAAAATAAAATACTAACAACAATCTTGTTTGCAAAATACCCTTTCGTATATATTGTAATTATAATTTCAATCTGATTATACTTTATTAGGAAGGCAATTGTTGATGTTTACTCAAAAGTCTTTCCTAGAATTTAATTCACCCATATTGGTGACTTCCTTTATAAAATTAGTTGGAATGAGTGAAATAATCTCATATCAATTGTACTGATCTCTGAAAACAACCCCACTCTATTGAAAGTCCCTCTGACTGTAGGAAAGCTTCAGTGACACGTCAGTGCTGCGAGTTTGGAATAGGAATCGGAGCTCAGAAGCTTCATGCAGTCCTTCCTTTTTTTACTCTCTTAATTGGAGAAGTCGTTTAGACTAGACAGTTTGGAAGGCCTTTCCACTGCCTTTGAGAAGTCTCTGAAAGTGCTCTTTTTGGAGTTCTGCAGCCTCTCCACTCTAAAAGGCAAACTGTCCTATTTTACCATTAGGATGTTTCATGCTTCATTAACGATAACGGGTCTTTGCTATGGCCTTCAAATTATAGACTGGTCTTTTTCCAAAGAGAGACATTTCTCTGTCACTTTCTATAGAGCAACAGATAAAGCAGAGTCCCTAACAATATCAAACAGTTTATGGAACTGACTGGTCTACACACTGTGTCCATCAGGCCTGACCAGTTATCTCTAATTATGGAAAGCTGAAACTCTAGGAGTATTTTGTTGAAGAGAAGAGGAATGACTTTATGTTAATGATATAAGATCTAGAAATCCAAGCATCAGCTGCTCTCAGGTGGATTTCTTAAATCAAAACAACCTAATCTTTTGAGATTTCACTAAATTGTAATGGGTACTTGAACCAAAATGACTTAGTAGCATTGAAGAACTAGTTTCATAGGGGGACAATAAATTTGAACATTCATTAGCACATGTTCCTGTGTACTAGGTACTTATGGAGAAGGTTACTTGTTCCGTGAAATGTTCTCTTACAGGTGCCATCAGCCTACAAATATATGCTGAGGTTTCAGAGAGCCGGTTGATGTGGATTCTACGCTTGCACCACACAGTTATATATATCTTCTATGGGCTTCTGGGTGTGACCAGAATCTTAAGCACTACCATTAAATCGCTTCCAGTCTCCTTAACCAAGCTGGCATTGTCAAATGCCTTCCTTGTACAAAGTAAGTATCAGCATTTTTTCCTGGGCCTTTCTCAACTGTTAGACATCCAGGTAGCTGTGTCATGGTATAGCCTTGATTGAAGAGACCATTTTTATCCAGGCCATAGTGAGACATTTGGGTGTCAGAATGTCAAAGATTTTCCTTCCCTACTAATTTACTCAGGCCAGCAAGACTATTCAACAATATTTCACTCATGTTTCACCTTCTGTCTTAAAGACTCACCTATGAACATCAGAATATTTTCTATCATCTTCTGGCTCTTTAAAAAGAATTCATGGAGTAAAACTCTGCTGGTATATAATAAGTAACAACTCAAATATTCAACCATATTAAAAAATGAGGTTCTTGGGGCTACAGAGATAGGTTAGCAGTTAGGATTACTTGCTGTTCTTGCAGAGAACCAGAGTTTGATCCCCATGACCAAGTCAGGTAACTTGCAACTGCCTGTAACCCCTCTTCTAGACTCTACAGTTACAGACACTCACATGTGCACACCCACCCCCTGACACACACATATTTAATTAAAAATAAATTTTAAAGAATGAGGTACAAATTTTGAGAGATCAATCATTAACTGCATATTGTGTCCATTTAGTTTCTCATCTTATTGTAGGGGGAAAGAAAACAAGTGTTTAATGACGTGTCTTCATTTATTACACATGTGCAAAGCACATTAATTATGGAACCATGAAATCCCCAAATAATCAGAAGACAGTCACTTCCTATCTCTTCTTCTTGCCTTCCATGTATGTTGAAAGAACTTCTGTCTGTTACTCTTTGAGAATGAGAACCAGATAAAAGATGAGTCCCAGCTACCAACAGCATAACCCTGTTGTTTCAAAGGGCTACTACATTGTACATTTCATGAAAGTGTTTTCCTCTTTTTTTTTTTTTTGGTTTTTCGAGACAGGGTTTCTCTGTGTAGCTTTGCGCCTTTCCTGGGACTCACTTGGTAGCCCAGGCTGGCCTCGAACTCACAGAGATCCGCCTGGCTCTGCCTCCCGAGTGCTGGGATTAAAGGCGTGCGCCACCACCGCCCGGCGTGTTTTCCTCTTTAAAGGAAAATGTTTCAATGAATTTGGAATCTATTCATAGAATGAAACAATGCACATATTTACAGCTTCCTGGTGACTTCCAGATAATGTTGCCATGTCCATGGTTATGATGTATGTCTGTGTTTACATATCCCAGTGAACTAATGTCATGATATGAGGCTTCAGCTCATTCATAGTTGTATAATTCATAGTTCCCCATCCCTATTAGGCTTCATATTCATCATTCTGCACAGAGAATTCTTTGACTTATAGTTACTTGAAGGTGCTGTGATGTGTTAAAGGCAAAAATAAATGTTGGGGGAGGGGAAAGGAAGGTTATCACTCCAGCATTCAATTTTTTTGAATTCTTTTGAAGAAGCGGTGATGACAACATGCTCACTGTGGACATCAGCTGGGACTTGTTCCTCTGGGCAATGGTGTTTGTTCAGAGAGGTCATGGACAGAGAAAGGGAGAGAGAGGCCGTGAACAGCTTTTGGTTCCACTGAAAATGACCAACTGCTTTCCTCCCTCCCTCAGCTTTCATCATGTACAACCACACTCATGACCGAGTCACGGTTGATGTTTTTTTGCACAAGATACTGGCTCTTGCCACCTTCTTATCAGGCCTGGTTTCCTTCATGGAGGTCCTCACAAAGAATAATATAACCCTGGAGCTGCTGCGGTCAAGTCTCATTATGCTCCAAGGGACTTGGTTATGGCAGGTAAGTTGGGACTACGAGATGACGGCCATGTGCCTGCATCTGTAACTTCTCTCATTTTGATGGAACAGATTGCTCTATAGTTCAAGACCTTCTCTCTCATGTGTTTTCTGCAATACTAATGTGGACCTCTGGGAAATTATGCTTTTTTAATGCTTAGTTGCTGAGGAGGCAAATAGTACCCATACCTGAGTAGCCATCATATAGTAACTCTGAGATGATGTCTTTAATCAAAAGCCATTTGTGATACTTAGACATTTTGCTGCCCAATGACCAGCAAGTCTGAGCAATTAGTGAAAGGCAAGAAATGGGGGGAAACAATATTTGCTGTGAGGCAACTATGTGGTTGATGTAGGAGGGCCTATCTCACTATAAGCCATGCCATCCCTGAGCAGGTGGTCCTGAGTGCTGTATGAAAGCAGGCTGAGCAAGCCAGGAGGAGCAAGCCAGCAAGCAGTATTCCTTTATGAGCTCTGCATCAGTTTCTGCCTCCATGTTCCTGCCTTGTTGGAGTTCCTACCCTAACATCCCTCAGTGATAGATTGTGCTGTGGAAGTGTAAGCTAAAATAAACCCTGTACTCCCTAAATTGTTTTTGGTCATGGTGTTTTGATCACAGCAGTAGAAAGCCTAGCTAAGACAGTGTTTGCATGTGGGCCTCAGCCACATTTGCTGAAATTTTTTTTTTTATTTTGAAACTATCACCAAATTTCAGGTCATAGAGCTGACCGTCTGTTTTCTTGTGCTTTGTGGTAGTAGAGAGAACATTTGGATTTTTAGATAATTTTGCATGTAGTAGGAGTTAAGTGTCTCTTGTGGTTTTGATAGTAAATGTTCACGACAGGTTCAAGTTTTCAAAGCTTAGTCCCAGCTGGTGACTTAATTTGTGCCATTCTATCTTGGAACTATGTAGTTTTGCTTTTGACTTTTAAGTGGCTGTCCACTAATTGTCTGCTTTGAGGTTCACAAAAGACTTTGAATTTGAACTTTCAAACAATATTGATGCTATTAAATATTTGGAGATGCTTAACGATAGTATAAATGCATTTTCTACCATGAGATAGATGGTCATGAGCCTTTGGGTGCCTATGTAGTAAATGGTCATCCATGAAAACATACAAAAAAAGTAACACTACCTGAACTCAACAGATTATATTTGGGAAAATATATGTATATACAAATTCATATATGCATGCAGTAAAAATCAAGGAAAAAAAGACCATGAATTTGAAGGAGAATGGGAAGAACTATACAGCAGGCTCTGTTAACCATTAAGCCATCTTTCCAGTCCCCTTTAATTTTGGGAGACTTCTTGGGGTTTATCCCAGAGCCTAAACTGTGGTAGGCAAACAATATACTATGGAGCAACATCCTTCGACATGAATATCCTCGGTTAAATTTACTCTTAAGTCTTTTAGGGTGTTCAATGCCATTGTAATAGAATTACTCATTTAATTTCATTTAGGGATTATTTGTTGTTTGTATATAAAGATTATAAATGACTTTTTGTGTTGATTTTGTATTTGTGGATATGCTAAATTAATTTATTGTCTTATTTAATTTTATTCTTTTAAGGAAAGAATCCTCAGTGTTTGCTATATGTAAGATCAGAATATTTACAAATATAGAGGGTTTTATTTATTCTTTTCTAACATTTGGGTTTTTTAATTTTTTTCTTGCTTAATTATGCTGTCTAGACTTTGTAGTACAGTGTTGAATAGAGGCAGTGAAAAAGTAACTTTATTTCTTGTTCTTGAATCAAGGAGGACAGCATTCATACTTTCAATATAAGATATGATGTTGTCTATAGGGCCTTATTCATTTAAAAATACTTTTGACATAATTTTTTCCTTTTATTGAAAATATGCTTTTTTCCAAAATAACATTTTCATTGATCATTTGGGAATTTCACATCATGTACCTTGATCACACCCACTTCCCAGTCCTCCCAGGTCTGCCTTCCTACCCTTGTGACCTCCCACCCAAACAGAAGAAGAAGGGGTAAAAAGAAAAACTACTTACCTGGCAAGGGAGACACCATGATCAGAAACAGGCTCTTTTCCCCCCTCACTAATCTATCCTACTTATAGTTCCCCTTCCTCTGCTTCTCCCCTTTCCTCTCCACCTCCCCTCCCATCCAGAGCCACCCCTTTCTGCCTCTCATTAGAAAACAAACGAGCTTCTTAGGGATAATAATAAAATAAAATAGGATAAAATAAAACCAAATTTACATCTATGTTCATTTGTGAAATTGGTCTGTGATTCTCTTTTTTTTGGGTCTTTATGTTGTTTTGGTATTAGGGTAACTATGACCTCATAAAGTGAATTGGACAATATTCTTTCTCTTTCCATTTCATTGAATAGTTTGAGGAATATTGGCATTAATTCTTCTTTGAAAGTCTGGTAAAATGCTGTACTAAAACCAGATGGCCCTGGGCTTTTTTTTGGTTGGGTGAATTTTAATGAGTGCTTCTATTTCACTAGGTGCTATAAGTTTGTTTAAATTGCTTCTATGATCATGATTTAACTTTGGTAAGTGGTGTGTATTGAGGCAACTACCTATTTTATTGAGATTTTCCAATTTGGCAGAGTATGGGTTTTGAAAGTATGTCCTTGTGAATTCCTTGATGTCTGTTTTTATGGCCTCGTTTTCATCTCTATTTTCATTATCTTAGATCTTCTCTCTCTGCCTTTTTAGTTAGTTTAGATAAGGGTTTGTCAATCTTATTGATTTTCCAAAGAACCAACTCTTTGTATCATTGATTCTTTATATTGCTCTTATTATTGTTGTTTCTATTTTATTTATCTCAGCCCCCAGTTTATTTCTTGCTGTCTACTCCTTTTGGTTGTGATTTCTTCTTTGAGTTCTAAAGCTTTTAGGTTTGCTCTTAAGTTGATAGTATGAGATCTCTCCATTTTTTAATGTAGGCGTTTAGTGCTCTGAACTTGCCGCTTAGAACCTCCTTCATTGTATCCCGTAAGTTTGGGTATGTTGTATATTCATTTTCATTCTAATCTAGAAAAATCTTGAATTTCTTTTTTGACCCATTTTTCATTCAGCAGTGAGTTGTAAATGAGTTTGTAAGCTTTCTGTTGTTGGTATATAACTTTAATTCGTGGTGGTCTGATAAGATTCAGGGTCTTATTTCAATTTTCTTGTATCTATTGAGACTTGCTTTGTGCCCAAGTATGTGAGCAATTTTGTAGAAAGTTCTATGAGGTACAGGGAAGAAGGTACATTCTTTTGTGTTGGGGTGAAATGTTCTATAAATATCTGTTAGGCCCATTTGGTTTATAACATCTGTTAGCTCCAGAATTTCTCTGTTTAGTTTTTGTCCGAATGTCCTGTCTTCCCATTATCAGTGTGTGAGGGCTAATATATGATTTAAGCTGTAGTCGTGTTTCTTTTACGAACTTGGGTGCCCTTATGTTTGGTGCATAGATGTTACAAATGCAAATGTTCTCTTGGTGGATTTTTCCTTTGTTGAGTATGTAGTGTCTTTCCTTATCTCTTTCGATTAATTTTGGTTTGAAGTCTACTTATACAAATTAAAATCACTATACCAGCTTGCTTCTTAGGTCCATTTGCTTGAAGTATCTTTTTCCATTCTTTTACTCTAAAGTAATATCTGTCTTTGGTGCTAAGGTGTGTCTCTTGGATGAATCAGAAGGATAGATCCTGCTTTTCCATCTATTCTGTTAATCTGTGTCTTTTTATTGGAGAATTGAGACTATTGATGTTGGGAGCTATCAATGAACATTTTTGTTGATTCATATTATTTTGTTGTGGTGGTGGTGGTGGCGGTGGTTATAGTGTGTGTGTGTGTGTGTGTGTGTGTGTGTGTGTGTGTGTGTGTGTGTGTGTGTGTGTGTTTCCCCTCTTTTGATTTGCTGGTCGGGGTTTATTCATTCCTTGTGTTTTCTTGGGTGTGGTAACCTCTTTAGTTCTGAGTTTTCCTTCCAGCATCTTCTGTAGGGTTGGTTTTGTAGACAGATATTGCTTAAACGAAGTTTTTATCATGGAATGTCTTATTTTCCCCATCTGTTGTGATAGAAGTTTGGCTGGTTATAGTAGTCTCAGATGGCATTTGTTGTCTATTATAGTCTGTAGAACATCTTTTTAGGTGCCTTTGGCTTTTAGAGTTTCTACTTGGAAGCCAGGTGTTAGTCTAATGCTTCTGTATGTGACTTAGTCATTTTCCTTTGGAGCTTCTAATATTATTTCTTTGTTCTGTATGTTTAGTGTTTTGATTACTATGTGCCAAGGGGAATTTATTTTCTGGCCCAGTCTGTTTGATGGTTTGTATGTGTCTTGTACTTTGATAGGCATTCTCCCTCTTTAGGTTTTGGAAATTCTCTTCTATAGTTTTGTTGAAAATTCTTTCTGTGCCATTGACCTGGGTTTCTTCTCCTTCCTCTATCCCTATTACTCTTAGATTTGGTATTTTCATATCATCCTAGGTTTCCTGGGTACTTTGTGCCAAGACTTGTTAGATTTAACATTTTCTTTTACCTCAGTGTTGTGATCTTTTTGGCTACAGAGCCCTCATGACTTATTATTACATGCCATCTTTTCATATGTCATGGATAGAGGTTTGATTATACCGTCCAAACAAACTTACAAAGTTAACTGATGCCTTTTACATGCTCAAACATAAAACAAAAATCATTGTAGTAAGTCTTTCTCTGTACCACCAGCTCCCAAATAATGACACAGAGACTTATTAATTATGAAAGCTTGGCCTTAGCTTAGACTTGTCCCACTAGCTCTTATAACTTATTTTTGTTTTATTTTATTTTAATCTATGTTCTATCACATGACTTGTTACCTTGTCTCTCCACCACTGCTCATATTGCTTTTTCCATGTCTGGCTGCTGACCCACCTTTCCTCTTCTCCGAGTCCTCTCTGTCCCCAGAAGTCTCACTTAGCCTTTTCCTGCCTAACTATTGGCTATTCAGCTCTTTATTAAACCAACCATAGTGACACACCTTCACACAGTGTAAAGGAATATTCCACAACAATCATCTTTAACTGACTTGTGCACACTGCACTTTCCACACTTGTATTGATGCAGATATATATGTTACCTTTAGAAGTTTATGTGTTTTCAGAAAAAATAACTAGATACCAATGATGACAAGTAGCCCAGATGATCCAGCCTCTCATAATGCCTCTGTTGCAGTTTCCTCAAAATTCTGCATCTAAAACAACTTCAAAGCTGCTGGTTGAGATGGTCCAGTCTCATAGACTATCCAGTCAAGACTTCAGATAAGCTCTACACACAGAGACTAAAGAAAAAATAATAATGCAGCTATCTCTCCCAGTACTTGACCACTATCCCAATCTCAGGGTCCTCTAAAGATGCCATCGCCCTCAAACAATGAGACAGTCCAGAAAGGATGACATTCACATTCTCAAGAAGTGGAGTGGATGGGTTTGGGTCATTCTGTGAATTATGGCTGTTTGTCATCATTTAGGAGGGTTGGTTACAAGTTGTTATTGGTCATGGTCAGGAAAAAAGCTAAACAAAGGAGATTAGATTCAGGGATCTCTTTCTGAAGGGGAAAGGGGAGGATGGGCTGGGGAGGGGCTGAGAGAGGGGTTAGGGGTTCACAGGAGGGAAGAAATCAGGGTGTTTCACCAGGATCTGCTTAGTCCCCTGGGAATGGGTGCCAAGACTGAGGAAAGGCCAAAACAGTTAGTCTCCTTGAAAGCTGGTGGGGTTGGATTTGGAGGAAAAGAGGAAGAGTTAAGATCTGAAGCTTGCCCAACAGTTTCACTGGCCCACATGCTTCTCTGTTAAGCTTGGCGGGCAATTTCCCAGGGAGTGTCCGCTGGAGTTGAGGGTTGCGATAACAAAATGAGTGAGGAGTAATGTCGGAGGAGGAGAAGATGGGTGTGATCTGCTGGAGATGGGGACACAGAGAAGGGAGAGGCCTTAGCAGGTGGTCTGCTGTGGAACTGGAATGAGACTGGCAGATGGAGTTGGAGAGGAGAAGGGAGAGCTAAAGATCTACAGTTACCTGCTTCCCTGGCCAGTGTCTATTTTACAATGTTGTGTAATCTAACTTTGAAATAATATAATAAAAAAATGAATCCGTATACGTGAACTTTCTGAACATCTTCACATAACAAGGGATACTTACTATTCATATTTTGAAAATTGATCATTAAATTTCCTTAAAATCTGTTTTGAAATGATTACTTGGTAGGTACTGTCTCTGTTACTAAATCAGATCAGAACATGGCATTTATCTGTGACAGCTCAGATAATAGAAATTATCTTAATCACCAAACATTTAAAAATGTGCCATTGTTAGCAATATATTCCTATATTTTACTTTTGGCGTTTTTATTTTGTTGTGTTTGAACTTACAGATGGGTTTTGTTCTCTATAACCCGACTGGAGGTGTTGCCTGGGATCTGACAGCTCATCACAACACTATGCTTCTTACCATATACTTTTGTTTCCATTGTGCGTTTGCCTATGTCATCACTGGAGTGAATTATGCTGTTGTCACTTGGTGAGTTAGTGACTTTTTTGTTCATGGCTATCCCATTCCTTGGTATGCGGTCATCAAGTCCCAATACTATCGAAAGGCAACACTTGAAAGGGGCCATCTTACTGCCACATCTCAGTGGGTTTCCTAATCCAAACCACCAGGTTCGCAGACTCCATCCTGTGGTCCGAGTACAGTTCTGGCTGCAATGTTCTGTATCTCTGGCCATATTTCTGTCTAGAGTGTTGCACTTCATAGTCACTGGTGCTTGAGCACTTTAAATATGGCAAGTGCCACATTAACTTCAGTAAATGTAAGTATCTAATAAGATGGGATCTCTTCTTTTTTTTTTTTTTTCTTTTCAGAGCTGAGGACCCGAACCCAGGGCCTTGCGCTTGCTAGGCAAGCGCTCTACCACTGAGCTAAATCCCCAACCCCGGAATCTCTTCTTGACTATGTTTAGAAACTACACATTTACTCTCCAGTTTCTCCCTATCCCTAACATATTTCATTCTAGACTTTCCAAAGGGCACTTCTTGCTACCTGGCATATTCACATTAAGTAGCTATCTCTTCTTTTAAGGATCCTGGGGTTCCTCTAACCTATTCACCCACCAGATGTTTTAACAGCAGTGGGGCTGCCTGTGAGTTCATTTGTGTTAGTTCTCCCTGCTGTCTTGAATTGCTGAAAGGGCACACCGCCAAACATGGAGCAGTTAATCCATCATTGCCTGTTTACTACTAAAAGATCTGTGCTCCAGATAAAATTCAATATCTCATACAGCCTTCATTTATTTTGAGAAAGTCTTATATGCTGTTTAGTTTGGCTCTTTTATTGATATTATAAAGATAATACTAAAATTCTACCTTATAATGCTTATACCATATAATGCTACCTTTATATGGTTAAATGGCTGGCTAACTCAGTCCTGAAATTCAGGGTAAGGAGTTGTAAAAATCTAGTAGTCAGGGTTTCACCGTGCGTTTGTGTCTCATCCACATGTGACAAAGTATCAAACATTGGGGCGGGAGAGATGGCTCAGAGGTTAAGAGCACTGGCTATTCTTCCAAAGGTCCTGAGTTCAATTCCCAGCAACCACATGGTGGCTCACAACCGTCTGTAATGAGATCTGGTGCCCTCTTCTGGCCTGCAGGCATACATGCAGGCAGAACACTGTATACATGATAAATAAATAAATCTTTTTTTAAAAAGTATCAAACATTATGTGATTGGCTTGGTGTAGCATAATGATTATCATGCAGCCTAAATAGAATATGGAATAAGCACCCCCAGAATCCCTGAAAGATGAGGCTATCTGCCAGCTCCCTAAAGTGATGGATCAAAGATAGTCTCATCCTATCTCACACCTACACTCTTAATTAGGGAGCTATCTGCTCAGAAATGTTGTTATGTGGTCAATATATTTTACATTTAACACCATCTACTACAAAGAACTATTTTGCAAGATCTCCTCTGTGTACAGGAAATAACAAGCAATTAAAATCAGGTTTTCCAAGTGGTAATTCATATGAGTCATTTTGATAAGCAAAGTAGAGATTCTCCAAATGCCAGACATACGACAGCTAACTTGACAGGTCGGCTCTTATCTTTCTCACATATGTGAAGGGAAGATATGGGATCAAAAGAATGTATCTACTCTGATTCTCACTCCTAAAATTTTCCCCATTCTAGTGAATAGTGGTTATTTTCTGTTCTTGTTTGTTGGCTTTTTCTCAGTCCCCTGGAGGCCATTTCTGCATCTCTAAACCTTAGAGCTGCTAGTGGCAAATAGAACCTGATAAAGACGTCTGAATGTGACAGAGTTTGGTGGCTTGTGATAAGGGCATACATAAACCAGAGAAAAGGAAGACAAAGTCACTAGGGGCTATGTAAATAATTAATCCAGAGGCTAGAGAAATGGCTCCGTGGTAAAGAGCTCTTACTGTTCTTCCAGAGGACTCCATTTTAGTTCCCAGCACCTAGTGCTTCTGGGCCCCCACCTCCCATGACTCCTGTTCTAGGATATCTATGCCTTCTTCTAGCCTTCAGGGTAGCCTCATATATGTGGTATACACACATAAACATAAATTTAAAAATTAAGTAATAAATTTGCTATAAGCAACTACACGTACTTTAATTTTCTACAAGAAATTTCAGTAAGGAAGCTAGTCCATCAACTAACCAACCCTTTATGTTTCATAGGTGTTGGAGTTGTGCAATAAGGAAATACTATGTAGTTTTGAAAAGTGACAAAAGGTGTTCTCAGGCTTGCACCTGTTACAGAGTATTAGCCTTTCGTGAAGAAATGGTTTGAAGGCTTAAGGAGGACAGTGGGGCAATATTAACAGTCAATAATCAAGGTAAATCATTTTAAGTGGCTGCCTTCAGCTCTTGAGTCAAAAGATGTTTCAGGGACTAATCAATCACTGTTTATTGGAGGAGTTAGAGTGAGTTGGCAGAGGCTGAAGAATGAGCTTCTACTTACAGATGAGTAGTGTGACACCCTACGGTCAAAGTGTCCAGAATGTTACATGCCAGAATCAGTTCAGTCTGGCCGGGGTTAGGGAAGCAGATAGGATGAAGTCTCTGCTCTGTTGATGCTTTCGTGGGACGGAGAGCTCAAGAGAAAGCATGGAGCGTTGATGGGTAGGCAGAACTCCATCAGAAGGAAGGCGGGAAGTAAAGCTCATTCATGTGTGGGTGGCCTGGTGAACTTCCTCTTAAAAGAATAGTCTGGAGGAGTTGCTTTATCAAATGTCTTTCCATAGTCTTGCCCATTTTTGGAAATCATATCTTATTCATGTGGTCAAAATCATAGTGTCCTTATGAAAATTACACACACACAAAGGTTTGCATATGTCTTAATACCTTTTCTCGTCAGAGACTCAGAAATCCTGCTGAGCTTGGGCCACTAAGCAGCTTCCATTCTTCCAGTGCCAAAAGTTATCGTCACCACTTCCTTCTGAGTTTCTCTTGAAGTGAAAATAGTCACAGGGGAGAGAATAGTTCTCTAAACTTCCTGAGTCACTTTTGTGTATCTTTTTCACAACAAAAACTGTGTGTAGGTTTGCCTCTGCATTTTTTATTATTATTAAGAGATTTTTCTATTCATTTTACATACCAACCACAGATTCCCCTGTCCTCCCTCCTCCAGCCCCCAGCCCCTCCTAAAACACCCCCCATTCCCACCTCCTCCAAGGCAAGGTCTCCCATGAAGAGTCAGCTGGCCCTAGTGGTGTGAATGCAGATGAGCTAGACCAGAGGACACGAGAGCAGGAGCTCTGGCCCCACTCCTTGCTGTTTGCTGCATTGGGTGAGCTAGCCAGAGTAGTGCTGGAGAGCTCCCCCAGGTGGTGGCGATGAGGGAAAGCAGCCAGGCTGGCCAATCCAGCTACCACCAAGACTATGAAGTAGCCCACCCCAACACCCACCTCATCTAGGAGCTGCTGGAGCATGTGAGGGGGCTGGACCTGCAGTTCCAAAGCTATAGGATCTCTGTGACACAAGAGAATATCCAAGAGAATTCCCAGTTAAGGGTCCAGTATTGAGAGTGTAGCAGAAGCCAGAGAACCCAAACCAAACCAATGATTCATTGCAATGAACACTTATAAGTAAAAATGTATGGATTAAAGGGTAAGCTGTGTGACTCACTGTGTCACACTACAGCTTCCATGTTGAGATTTGTTTTGTTTTGGTTTTTTTGTTGTTGTTGATGTTTTGCTTTTTAAATTTGATTGGGTGGGGAGGTTGCAAGGGCAGAGGTAAGGGGACAGGAGATGAGTAGGATCGGGATGCATGGTGTGAAATCCACAAAGAATCAATACAAAGTAAAAAAAGAAAAAGTCAACCCAGAATTGCCATAGGGCTCAACTTGGGCTGGCACTCTTAGGAAGATTCTCACTTCATGTGTTTCCTTTTTAGGAAATGAAATCACTTTGCAACCCGTGGGTAGGTGTGGCTTTGATGCCGAAACTCCACTGATCTCAGCCTCATCCCACCTCACCACAGCCCACAGATTCTCTTATTTGTTTTAGACACAATCAAAATGTTCTGATGCCTAGTTAAACAATCACGTAATCCATTGAAAAGCCACATTTATCGGTTTTCTTATACCATGCTTTAATCTACATACATTTCCAGGAATCTCTAACACCAAGTAAATACAGTGTGCTTTTCTGACTCGCCTCCTCTAGGTACAGAAATACTCTGGAGTGTTAGCTGTATATTGCTCTCAGTTTTTATTCTAGGTTTCACGTAACCGAGATTATTCTCCTACCCTCCCCATCCAGGTTGGTGAAATGGAGACTTAGGAAGTTCTGCTTCACACAAGTTCCACTCCTGAAAAATGTCGGGCAAGAGGAAGAATCAGAAGAGATGTGAACTTGATGGGCAGCCATTCATTCTTACATAAACCTTTTCTTTATTGTAATGAACCTTACTTTCCTCTTGCTTTTGGTCTGCATTCAGTACACACAATCTGTACTGTTTATAGTTCCAATTTTGTTAAAAGTACTTAAATGTAGTTATTTCATTTTTATCTGAAAGTACTTTGGATGACAAGATTATTTCACACACATGGTATCATATAGTCAGAATCATATATAAAAATATTTGTTTTAATTCTCCAGGCTCCTGGTCTTGCTGTATCTTGCAGTTCATTAAAAATGGAGCAACGAGCCGGGCGGTGGTGGCGCAGGCCTTTAATCCCAGCACTTGGGAGGCAGAGCCAGGCGGATCTCTGTGAGTTCGAGGCCAGCCTGGTCTCCAAAGCGAGTTCCAGGAAAGGCACAAAGCTACGCAGAGAAACCCTGTCTCGAAAAACCAAAAAAAAAAAAAAAAAAAAAAAAATGGAGCAACGAAAGAAATTAATATAGAAACCTCATGTCTTTGTTTTCATCGCTGGGCTATACCACATTATTATGTGGTGCAGAAAAAGCTGAGTAATTCAGAAATACCTTTCTGTGAGACATCCCCCATGGAAAAACAGACAGAAACCAGGATGGTAGTATATATCTTTAATCCCAGTGCTCATACTGTGAGATTGGGAGCATAGGTAGGAGAATTTCCGGAAGCTCTCAGACTGGCTAATCCTGTGTACACCACAGTGACCATCAAAGAGATCCTACCTCCAGGTAGAAGGTGAAGACCAATCCGGAGGTTGTCTTTAGACATCTACATGTGCCATGGTATCCACATTCACTCACTTCATATATTCAGACACACACACACACACACACACACACATATTACACACACACACACACACACACACACACACACACACACACACACGCCCAAAACAGAAAAATATAATTTACAATAAGAATTCTCTTTTCAATAGTGATCCTTTATGTGAAAATGTATCTATGTAGATGTAATTCTAAATGGTCTTATTAAATAAGAAACACAGAGCCAAATAAAGAGTTAAAAGCCCAGAGATGGAGCACTAGCCAAGAGCTAAGACCACCTTATCTTACCACTCACTGTCATCCTTCCCCTGAGAGAGAGACCTTCTTCCTGTGTCCTGTCTTTTTATTGCCTTTCTGTTCTGCCTTCTCATTGGTTCTAAACCCAACCACATGATTTCCTTGTCACTGCCTACCTATACAGACCTCCAGGTCTCTATGGTTTGTACTAAGATTAAAGATTTATCACTGCTTGGCTGTGTCCTTGACCACACAGAGACTCTGTCTGCCATGTGATCAGATTAAGGGAGTGTGCCACCACCGCCAGACTTCTGCTAAATGGCTTGCTTTTAGCTCTGATCCCCAGGCAACTTTATTTATTAACATAGAAATAAAATCACATTCAGCACAAATAAAATATCACCATAGTATCTACATGAGTTTAACTGTTGACAGGATTACCATGGGTGAATATGGACCTTCTTCATAAGGTTTGTGACAAAAATGCTAAATGTTGTGTGTTTTCTAAAAAATATTAATATGGATGATTTTGTTAATTCTTCTAAATACCATCTTCACTTGCTTACCTTTTTCACATTATCACTTAATTTTGATGAGGCTACTATTTGTTTGTTGTACAATTTATCTTGATTTCTTAGTTAGTCTAGGGGATAGTGTCATACCATATCTACCTTTTAGCCTCCAATCAGCGGACTGTTTGTTCTTAGTAGTTCATTTCATTGATCATTTTAATGATCCATCTTGGGACAATCCTTTAGCTTCATTATACCTTTTGAACATGATCTTTGAAGAAATAAGTTATGAATAAATAATGTTTTCTGTTTTCAGTATTTCTTTTGCAACATCAAGGATATTGTCTTGTTGTTGTTTTCTTCCTTCCTTCCTTCCTTCCTTCCTTCCTTCCTTCCTTCCTTCCTTTCTTTCTTTCTTTCTTTCTTTCTTTCTTTCTTTCTTTCTTTCTTTCTTTTGATTTCAGTGTCTTTGAGAGCACTCTTCAGTACCCTTCTGAGTACCCCTCTCTTTCCTGACAGTTGAGCCTATTTCCACCACATACTTTTTCCCACATATTTTGCCTGGTCTTGTTTATATCATATCTCATCTCACTAGTCTTCTCTGGGTAACTCAATGCTTACAGAGCTGGATGCCTCATGAATGCATACAATCAATTACCAAAACGTTTGGTAAGATTGCTGCCAGTAATGACTCTGAGGAGGTTTTCTTATTTTACTTATTTGCTTTTGCGTGTTGTCAGGAGTTCTTTTAAAAACCAAATAAATTACATGAATTGCTCTTTGGCTTGTTTACCTTATTTATTCTAAGTGATTATGCAGATATGCACTAAATTTCCTTTTGGCCTGTATACACTGTGTTTATATTCATACTCCTCCACCTTATATGGTTGCATCCTGCCTCTTGGTTAGAAACTGAGAAGGTGAAGGAAGGACTTCAATTTTATTGATGCCTACTCCTTTTAGTTTGTGGATGATAAAGTACTGTTTGTATTCTGTGGGGACATAGAGTACTTATATATTTTCTATATCTTAAATATTATATAATTACTTACAACACAGGTGCAGTTTACAAATTATAACTGAATACTATGAGGTAGGAAAAGTAAACATGGCATTAATTGTATTTGGATCTAAATTGTCGCTCCCAAAGCAATGTTCTATGGGCTTTGTTCTCATGGGACTGGCTCTTTGGAAGTGGTTGGATCATGAAGGACTGTAGCTCGGTGTGGGTCTATGAGGAGGTGGAAACTGGTTTGAGGAATCAGCTTGCTGGGAGCTTGCCTTCACGGTTATATTTTGTCCTTTTCCCTTTTCTCATCCTCTCACCTTTTTCCAGCTACCATGACATGAAGAGTGTCCTCTACCATACCCTCCCACCTTACTTCAGTGCTAAACCAAAAAAATAAAATAAAATAAAAAGTAGTAGTAGACCTTGGACTGAACCTACTCAAACAGTGAGCAAGTATAAACTCCTTTGCATTGTTCATGTAGGTATTTTATACACACAGGCTCATATACAAAGATCTGTTTCTAGGTTCTCTATTCTGCTGCATTGGCCTCTTTGCCTATTTCTTCACCAGCACCAAGTCAAAGCACAGATTTTTGGGTCCTGTGTCCATGGCAGCATCTTTTATAGGCTAGTAAAATGGTCTCTGTTAGGGAAATCAGGTAGCTAGGTCCTATGGTAGAGTAGAACATCTTCGCATGCCAGAGTTACTAGGGAAGCTAGAGAAGAGGAGAGAAACCATGACTGGTACTGGAACCCTAGCTAACTACTTAGTGCTGGTGGAACTTGGTTATTGGAGGAGAATCTACAACCACTCTTTTACTAAGAGAGCGTAATTCCTAACAATCTATAAACATCTGTCCTAATACCCACAGATAAGTCTATCCTTCACCCCTCATCAAGGAAACCTTTTTTTTTTTTTTTTTTTTTTTTTTTTTTTTTGCAACAGAGACCACTATAGAAAACCATAACCAATCAATATGCAGAGTTGTGGAACCTGGTCCCAATGAATACATCTACAAAACATTCCTACCCCTAAGGCTCAGGGAACATTTTAGAAGAGGGGGTGGGAAGATGTAAGAGCCAGAGGAACAGGGAGTTTGCTCTGAGATTGTGACCCCTAGTAATCTCAGAAGCTGCACTTATACAATCTCACCAACATGGTTTCCCAAATGTGAGCTGAACATGGAGGAAAAGGATGAAACCAATGAACATACCAAAGTGGACGGACAAAAGCCTCAACCCTACACGAAGAACTATAGACAAGTGAGAAAAGCTGGGAGTGGGAAAGTGGTCATCCCCAGGGAAGAGCACACCAAATGGTTGTCCAATACCAAATGGTCAGCTCTGAAAACATACGGACAAGTAACACTATACAGACTGTATAAGTTATATTTAGTAATAGATATATAAATACATGTACGTTTATGTATGCAATCACAATTAGTAAAAAAAAAAAAAAAAGGCCATGAACTTGAAGGAGAGTGGGGAGAGTTATATGAGAGAGTTTGAAGGGAGGAAAAGGAAGGGAGAAATGTAATTATAATCTAAAAAATAAAAATTTTTAAAAAAGGTAGAAACAATCACCAATCCTCATTTGTCAAGAAATGGTCTTTCGCTGGAAAGCAAATATTATGGGAGTCTATTCTGTTCTCTCCTCTCACAACAGGGAATATTTATATATCGTAGCTTTGTGAGAAATTTTAAAGAATTTCCTTTCTTCCCTCAGTAAAGGGTCTCAAAAACACTCCTTGTGGTAGTGACTCAGCAAAGGAAGTCCTATGGCTCCGTGTGCATTTACACTTGTGGCTGAGTGAATATACAGTGAAAAACTATAAAGCAAAATTTCAAATCAAACCTGCCCAGAGGCAAAGTTTAGAGGAAAGCTGCCTCACCCTGCAGTCCTCTTCTCTCATTCATTAATCATGGGAGATGTTGACATCTGGAAAGAAAGCAGTCCCCAGGGAGACTCCTTCCAGACAATGTGAAAAGGCTGCATTGGATACTTGTCATGGAGGCACACTTTACCAGGCAAATGACATAATTTTAGATTCCCAAAGGAAATTAATTTTGTAACATGTTATTTTTAGGTCTTCAATATCCCCCAAAGGCTATGTGTTGGAGGCTTGCTAAGTAGCCTTGGGGGGCTTTACGTAGGTGGTAGAACTTTTAGGTTAGCAGTAACTGAGGAGAATCATTTGAGATGATGCTAGGATCCCAATATTGCTTTTCATTTTCTGATTGCCATGAGATTAGTAGCTCCCCCCTCCACACACACACATGTTCTTGCCACATCTGTTCTACCTTGTCACAGAGTTCTTTCCACAGTAATGGAAAGTTGACAAACATAGTATAAATAGCATTGATCATACACTTTAGGCCACTTACAATTCAGACAAAAGTAAATCACTGCAGACACTCTATGCCATCGACTAT